CCCAGAATAAATGTATAATATGTTTTTTAAAAACGGCGACCAGTTCCACCACTTCCCCGGTCATATAGTAGTATTTTAACCCGGAGATAGGCTAATTAGTGCATATTGTTTAAGGAAGTTAGCCGTTCGTTGGACTCTGTCGAGCGCAGAGAGTTACGGGTGTGTGGAAAAACAAAACACCACTTGATAAGTAACTTTAAATGAGGTGGAGGGAAGAAGCATCTTTTGCCGAAAAAGGAACTAACTCAAGCGCCAAACGAGAAACAATCTAGACAGGGTATGTAGACACGGAAAAGGGAAAGACTCGAGAACCAGCACTAGTTCATGAGGTCGAAATGGTCTAAATCAAAATATAAATTCAAGCGGAAAGATTTTAAACTTACGGGGAGATTGATACCGGGCAAGTCTTTCAGAACATGAAGACAATATAAAAGCAAGAAACCCATTTGTAATTGTTATGGCACAGCGGTCGTGATCAACGTCGAAATTATACAAAAGAAGGCCCTCCAAAGTAGACTGTGGATTTTGAAGCCGGAAGGGAAACCCACGGTGGTTACATAGAAAAGATTTTTGTCTTCAAGTGTAAAAAGCAGCTTCATTCAGCCTTAGTGGAGCCACAAGTTGGCCTAGTGTTCTCATTCTTTGCATGTAACAGATGGGTGTTAGAGAATAATTGCGATTGCTAGTTTGTGAGCGGTCATGACTCAAGTGAATTCTCAATGTTTAATGCGATAATATCTTTTTGCCTCCTTGTGATAATTGCATCTGATGCAAATCTTTACCAGGTTCACAAATAAATTGAAACACAGGTCCTCCTAAAAATGGCACTAAAGCCCTTCTTGGTCATTTGTAAAATTGGTGGCCACTAGGTTAACGTTTCTCCATCTCACTGCAGTCTTAAATGGTAACACATTTCAAAAATCCGGTGTCTATAATAGTCAACAAAACTGTGCCCCTAATCCTGTAGTTACAGTTTCGAGTGAACTTCACTAAAGGGAGAGCGAGAGGGCATTCGGATCCCAAACCTCTCCCAAACACTCAATGTAAAACAGCTGTTATCCCATGGAGGGCAAATCAGAATTCTGATCTGTTTTTTTTCGTGCAAGTCGATTGCATTAATTCTACAACGGTTTCCTTTTTGCATGCGAATGCTTATGCGCATGTGCACGAATTCTCTACAGACAGTCGAAATGTTTACTGAATCTTCAGTTTGATCGGAGAATTTCATTGGATTTGTGCGGATTTATAACAGCCAATATCTTACTCTCCCTGTTGATAACTGCTGAAAAGACGAAGTTGTTTCCTTTTTATTAGCAATGCAAAACATTTTGTAGAATAAATATGAGGGTTTCCAGTGCTGTAACAAGATGACAACCAATTTTATCAGAGCAGATGAGACATCAGAATAAAATATTGCCAATTACTGCCTTCGGCAAGATGTAGCTTCTTGACAGTAAACTAGACTAACGGTTGTAAGATAGAAGATGAGAAACATTGCAACAATAATATCGCAGAAAAAGTGGAGTAGCCCATATAGCATCTCTTCAATAGTACATGAACCGTTTTACGCCATAACTGCTAACACCGAGGGTAGCCTCATGAACCACGGAAATCGAATAGTGTCGACCGATTCGACAAAACTAGTAATAAAATATAGAATTCATTGCCGCTCGTTGATGTGGCTTTTATCGAAGCCTTCACTCTAATCATATATGCGGAATTGAGGAACACATACTAATCTGGTATTGAGTTGGTAACGTTTGGAAGATGGGCAAACTTTTCCCGTTTATCCTAAATGCTGAGTAGCACATCTAGTTAGTAAGACAAGTGATGTCCGGCTCGAAGCACTGACGGAATGCAATGTTTATACGAGAAAGAGAAAAACGGTGATTTATATTAGGCAAGGTATTTTCAATTTTAAAAAATGTTAAGGAAACTAAGTATGTTCACTTTGAAAGTTAGAACAAACAGTAACTATTACTTCGTCGATTTCCCACGTTTTTAGGCAACATGCGGAACTTGTCGCAAACTGCTCCATTGGTCTTCATCGGCTGACCAAGATGAAGATAATGTTGACGAAGACGAGGGCACGGATGACGATGAGGAAGAGAATGAACCGATTCTGGAGGCAAAGGATGCGATAGGTGAGAACGGTGATGATTATGTCGAATGTAAGCTTGTGATGCGTATCAGACGTGAGGGTAAATATAGTACCAAACAAATCGTAGCCAAACACGGCAAACGTTTAGCTGAAACTAAGACGGAAGGGAACCAATTTGATCATGAAGAAGTCACCCCAGCGGAGGATGATGAAACGACTGAGGCAGATGAGGTTGCGGATGAGGATGATATCGATTTGGATCTGACTGAATCAGAAGAAGTTGATGAACCTGATGAATTAGATGATTACCCGGAATATGAGGAGGGCCAGTCAGACATGCAAGATGATTCAGATGAACCCGAAGAGTATGAAACTGCTTTGACCGAGGAAAAGGATCCAGAGTCTGATGAAGATGACGTCGATGAAGACCTTGTGGAAGAGGATACGGAAGAGATGGACGTGAAAAAATATAGTAGCAAACAGAAAGAAGACAAAAGGGGTGATCTTGAAGAGGAGAAAGAAACGAAATCACGAAGCCTAGGTGAAGAGGGACTGCGTCGACTTAGGCGATTTATTACCTGGATGGGTTATGGAAGCAGTAAAGAGAAACATAATGAGGAAAACAATTCTGGTTCATCAGACTTGACTCCAGAACAAAAAGAGGAAGAAGTTGAGTCAGATGAGGAGGACGAATCGTATGCCAGTGCAGTTCTGGATGATGAGGAAATTGAAGACGAAGAGGTGCCGGATCCTGACGTGGAAGATTACTCTGAGTCAGCTTTGGATGACGATTACGAACCCATAGAAGATCCTGAATTTGCAGGCTGGCGCAAGATGCACACCAGTCAAGGACGACACACACCTTCCATGGGTAAGCTAAACCGCATGGATTGTAGTGTGCTCGACAAGTTGCACGTTTGTGATAGCCTGATGTGCTTAGATTTCTCTGTGTCTTTCTACCTCTTCATTTCTCGCCCAATCCTTTCATCGTTAGATTCACTCGCTCATTCATGCACACATATAGCGCCACCGATTTTCGCCGCCTCAGCGACCTCCGGTTGCATGCCTGAGCGCCCTCTAGCACATTGACCAGAAAGAGCAGTGATGGCATGCGATTTCCTCCCGAATTTTCGGGACAAATCAGGCTTTTGAAATCTTGATTTCCTGGAAAGAACAGAAAGGCGACAACTTAGATAACGCTAGATGCCTAAATCAGTTCCGTTTCTCTTGGTCCGGACTGATGTATCATGCACGTCGAATTGCGTACAACTTCTCCCGCCATCCGTCCGTCCTATGAGCCCACTCAGTCACTCATCTTGCTGCATTTCGTCTACTTCCTTCATCTGTTTTGCTTTCAACGCCTATCGTCGAACATTCATCCGTTCGTTTTCACCCTCTCGGATCACGTGCCAGACTCATTTTCACATTGGGTACTAGCAAACCTCATTTGACGCGCTGCAACTGATGACCGAAAAACGACGTTGCTCAAATTGTGATACCCACCAATTTAAATCTAACCTTACTGTGTCCCAATTGCTTTGAATGGAGATCACACACACACACGCACTCAGAGACATTTGGTTTTGTTATCGCCTCACGCACTCCCGCTCAAGAGCTTGTTTTCATCTAACCTATACCAATCTGTGATGGATTCCCGTCGTGAAATCGATGCCATCGTACCAAGCTTTGTGTTATCATCCTGTTTATTTCTGTTCACCATTCTCATTGATCAATAATGGTACCGATTGGTCCGTGTATCTTGGTTAGATGGAAACTCAATACGTACAGCCTCAAATTCTGTCCGTCTTTCTTTCAAATGGCAACGAAACGCAAATGTTGGAATCCACATGAATTTCTGCATCAATAGTTTTCACATTCGCACCGTTTTACCGTCTAAAAGTAGCTTGCTAAAGTGCACGTTACAAATCTGGGTGATCGTATTTTTGGGTATACCCCCGATTGTTTATCCTGACACCACGGTGCTGAAGGAATCGATCTATATATCTTGACCATTGTTAATGTCAAATTTTATAAGGTAGTGGTGAATTTCTTTGCATTATCGTTTCTTTGTTTGCGAAGCATCCTCACGTGTGCGATATTTTCAACCCGAGGAAACGCTTCGGGACTAAGTGCATGCGGTTTGAAGTGCAATCGATCGATCGTGTATGTCCTGGACGGAATGCAAATAATAATATCCCTGTCATAAAATTGGATATCAGCTGGGACCAAAAGTGAGGAAGGTGTTAGAAGAAAAGGAGGTAGATTAAAAAAGGATAAAAGAACAACCAATCAGTGGGCCATTGTTTCTGTGTGGCGCGATTGATTGCGCTTCCACTTTTATACTTGAAAAATGGGTTTTTGATAGTTGTTAAATTTTGTTGGATTCTGTTTATTGAAGGATTTGTATGCATTATAGAATAATGCTGCTTAGTAGCTGGAAACCCCCAACTTATTAATAACCGTGGATCACTGCGATACATGTTCTTCAAGTGGTAGACTAAGATATCAATTTTAATGTTGAAGATGAGGATTATCCTTGAAAGATTGAATAAACAATTGAGAAATTTAACCAACTTACTGTTAATAATTTGTCAAAAAATGACTTGTCATTAGGTTCCGTTATTCTGTTTCAAAATAAACTGCACCCCGATTAGAGACCAAATATTATAATTTAATTAATTTATAAAGCTGAGTCCATGAACCTCTTCCTATAAATCAGGCGAGAATTTATGATACAACCAACTTTCTACTTACTACTGAATAGGAGGTCGACAACTATTGGCAGTAAAACCCCCAACGACCACACCAACAACAGTGAAAAAGTCCAAGGCCTCTACAACGACAAGCGGTACCAAACCGCCAAAGTTAGTCAAGAAAAAACCGGCTCCGGTTGCGAAATCACCAGAGCAGGTCAAGCCTAAAATACCGACACCAACAAAACCAAGTCAAGGACAAAAACCGGGTTTACAACAACCGGCGAAACCAGCAAAAGCACCCACAGTGAAAGCGGCTCAAGGTCAACAGCAACAACAGCACCATTCTCATCAACATCATCGTGCCCAGACTGCAAGTGGTAGTTCTCAACCCAAAGCAGAAGTTGAACTCACAATTCACGCATTCAAAGAGCACTTGGCAAAGAAACCGAAACCCGCACCTAAGCCGAAACCGGTTCGCATGGTTGGCACCGCAAATGATCATGACTGTGACGGGATTCCAGACGACATCGACGAGGATGTGGACAATGATGGACTCTTAGATCGTACCCAAGACTCCGATTGGGATGGAGAACTGAATCACGTCGATCTGGATGATGACAATGATGGTAAGCGAAAAGCAGTGCTCTAAATACATTTTGCATGAACAGACTAACAAATGCACGGAAGTTTGCTTTACTTAATACACCGCCAAACAATCACAAAGAGAGAGAGAAAGTGATCGATACACTACATCAATGACGCTTTATTCATTATTGTCGTACTAAAGTCTCTAAACTTCACTCAATAAATGTATTCATATTTAAGAAAATGCCATATGTGAAGTTTGTTCATAGTTTTATTAAAATACATGTCATTAACTACTGGCAAGAACCAGTTCTTTTTCAACCGACTTGAGCAAGAGTTTGAAATCAGTTGAATGGGTACAGAAAGCAAACAATTCTCATCCGACATGACATCGGTAACCGTGATGGTAACCTGCTGCATTACGAGGTATAGTCTGTAACCTTGTTGATATAAGATATGCATATGAATGGTGTTCTTATACATCGGTCAAAACAGCGAAGGTTGTGATGAAGTGTCTAATTCCTCCGAAATCTGTTCTTCAAGGTAATATTATTATGTAAAGATTTGTTAAGTTACAAATATTGTCTAAATGACTGAAACTACTGTTCTTTGGAGCATTCGAACAGAGCAAAACGGAACTTCACAGGTTCCATTCAGATCAGTTATTCGACATAGTATGTTCTTGTGTCAACGATACACATCAAGACTAAATAATGATACTAGGTTAGAACTCTAGAATACATATAGTTTACTATTATTGCGTATAATTTCATAACAGTTTTCATTCTTTGGAATTGAATTTTCCAAGTTTTCATCTGGCATCAACAAAAAACTCTGAACTGTTCAGTCCTAATAGTTTAATGTTTTCTCCAACGGACATATAAATGCTTCTGTTCATGTTGGCTGATCCCAAAGTTTATTTTCTGTCCGCTAAAAATGATCGTTTCAGTGTGTTACTATGTTCAACTAGCCCAATAGGCTTGGCTACTTTACTTGTTTCCAACGGGACAAAAGACTGGACTGGATTTGTCTGTGTGTGTGTGTAACTCGTAACCCGAGAACCATTGCGGTGGGTCCCTGTCAAATGTTGACAGAAATTTTGATTTCATTTCTAAATATGTACATTTCCACAACAGAATGCAAGTAGCCCCGCTCGAAATCCCTGCTCCAAAGACGAACGTGGTTACACACAGGCACAGGTACAGAACCTTGGAGACAGGGGCCGTTAGACAACGTCCACCAAAAAACAGCCACGAACAAACAGTTTGTACGATACAGACGTTTAGTTTACGACGGGAGTGGGCATCACAACAAAGTAAAATTAGACAGTTTGTTGCATGTCCAGGCAATCGGTACTTAGTCGATAAGCCATGTATCCTATTCTCGTAACAATAAGCTGCGATGATTGGTTTAAATCATACTCAATTGCTATGACGCCCATATTCAATGTCTTTAACGCGAATCACTGATTGAACAGTTCTGTCGAGTTATTCATAAAAAGATTACTAAAATCTGTAGCATTTGTAATGCCTGAAATCTTTCACAGTCCGAAGCTTAGTTTCATTCCTCAAGGCCGTGTTAACCAATATTAGCAATGTGTATCAAATTTCCGGGTGAATGGGTGTCATTTATCCCAGAATCACTGGAAATCCATCTATCCTATCTCTGCTTCCGAAATTTCCGTTTTGGGAAGACATCTAAGTACAATGTATTGTTTTACGCCAGAAGCTGCTAAATTTTTCAAAAGTAAAATGAAACATAAAATACTGGAACAAGGAATGGTTAAATTTAGAAAAGAAAGGAACCAATGTGTAGAAAAACTTCTGACCAGTTTTCATACGTCCCTTATATGATAGTTTTCATCCCAGATGTTCCAGGCAACCTGAAAGGCACTATGTGTGTCAAGGTTTGTTTGAATATATCTTTAGTCTGAAATTTGTATTGTCAAACAGTCGATACATATGTAAGTGGCATGTATCAGCCTAGGTTGATCATCGCCGCATGACGGTAGAGGATTTTCTGTGGATAACAGTAGCGCAAAACGATGGGACTGATAAGCAATTCAATGTTGCATTCATGTTATTCATGCCCCGTTGACAGAAGGGATTGCCCGGCTTCGGAGTGAACTGTTATCTGATACGCAGGGCTCAAAGTTTCAGATCAGATTACAGTCATCCCATGTCCTCATATTCAAAACAAAATCTTCAGTTATACAACAGTCGAGTGAACTTCATGTATGGAACACAGGCAAATTAGGATCTCATTTACAGCGAATGATGTGCTAAATTCACTGCAAATCGCTGTAAATATGCAGAAAGCAATTTGGTTGTTGTTTTGGAGTGATAGGAATACCACCTATGTAAAAACGTAGCGTTCATCATTTATAATGAAGGTCCTTTTGCTGAGGAACCACGTCTAAGCATTACTGGGAACACAGCAAATCGTGAACTTTTCACACAAGAATTGGAACCCGGGAATATCACTATTCCCACATGTAATGACCCCATGATAAATCACATGATGCAACGCAAACGTTTGGTTGAAAACTGGGTTAAACAACCCCCGTCATGGACAACAGAGATCCAGGGTTCCTTAGAAGTTTCTACACTAAGGACATTCTGGTTAAATGATGATGATAATCCTGTTGTATTTTACACTGACTACATTCTTCAACTAAAATATGCATAAAAAATGCATTGAGACCTTCCTTAGGGCACAGCGCGTGCACACACAAGCAGTACACTTAAAAAGTGGATAGCTATGGAACAAACTTTGTTTTAGATTTCATGCATGCACTACTCTTAAAAAGGATAGGAACAGCCTCATTTTATGAATTCATTATTTGTTTTTTCTTGTGCTGCACAATCCTGCCGCCCAATACATACACATTTAGGAATCCCTGACACTGAGGATGAAGATGCGAACGGAGATGGGATTCCTGACTGTCGTGCGGACACCTTTGATCATCAACTGATGGTTCGGTTCCGCACAAAGAAACGCACAGTGGACAGTGACTTGGATGGAATTCCGGATGATGTTGACGGTGATGATGACGATGACGGAATTCCCGACCTGATGGAAGACGAAGACGGGGATCAAATCCCGGATATCTTTAATCTGAGCAAGCACGAATGTAAGTGAACGATGTGTTTATTTTCCACTAGCCACCACTTTCGTTAACTCTTAACACAAACAATAATTAATTTACCATGCTCGGGGGCCAACATGACCCTGAAATATGAAGAATTAAACACTCTCCTGGCTGGGAGGTGCGACAGGATGCATTGATTCAGCCCCGTTCGAGTTTCAACCACTGGTTTGTGAGTAGTAACCGATAGTCTCTTCTTCTTCAACGGACATAATGGTAGAATATCAAACACGATAACAGTCACAACGGAATGCTTTATTTAAATAACGGCAAAGTATAACAAAGTGAAACTTACTCAACATAATTTGTAAGCAAATTTACGTACATGTCAGGTTAATCAAATCAGTCAACACCTAGCATGCCAATCACCAGAGCTAAAAATTAATTTATCTGATCATATTTCCAGGATGTATTACACCGANATTAATTTATCTGATCATATTTCCAGGATGTATTACACCGATACATTTTTCTTCTCATCCCATCTATTTGTTAGTTGATTTCTGAATCTGATTCATCTATCCAAAATCTGACACTAATCAAAGGTTTATTCGAATTTTTAGTTCCATTGATGTGCTTCGAATTTCTTTCGAAAAATGTCAGAAGCACCAGTTTTGACGTTTCCTAATAACCCATCACTTTTAAAAAACTTTTCATTCATTTCTGATGTCAGTGTCAGTTCAATCGGTTTTCGATAGAACTGAACTAACAAAAAGCAGTTTAGAATCGACCAGAGCTTAAAAGTGTGGGCTGAGCGAATTACACGTCCAGCAACCTCTCAATGATACAGCTCGGTCGATGTTTGAGAGGAAACAACTGATAGATCAGCTTCCCGTTTCTATTCCAACACTAAACTATTGGTGAACGTATGTGCTTAGAACAGGAGTTTTTTTCATGCACTAGATGCGTATTTCGGTATGCGAAAAATTTCACTAATCCCATGCCTATCGTATAGTTGTGGAAAAAGAACAATTTCCTTTTAAACGTGACTGTATTTATGGACCAAAAATTGTGCTCATCTATGAACAGCGATAAGATCATTTCGGATCTAGAACGACCTAGTTCCTCTATGTGCACTCTAGTTTCTGTCCCAGTTATTGATCCAATGCGTATTTGTGCAAGCGCACGTGCGTATGTGCGTGTGTGGGTACAAGTAGGGTTTCACATTTTCTGAGGTTATATATATATATATATATATATATACATAAGGACGTGCACAAACAAGTGTGTACAAGTGTACCCTATGGTATGCCTTACATCCACGGACTTCCCTCAGCCAGTTCTATTTGTGCGGAGCGTTGGGGTAATTCTGGCCACAACCCAAAATACACTTCAGATAAACATGAACAAACAGCTCCCAGTTCCACACTTTTTGCCCACCGCTCTAGATAATGCTTGACCAGGGGTATTTGTCGACGACGGGGTAACTAACATGTGGAATGTGGACATGCCCTGACTGCTTGTATGCGTGCGTGTGTGTGTGCGAGCGCTGGTTTGTGTGGGTAGGTGTGTCGGGTACAACCGCATGATCTCTTTTCTTCCTGCGATTCAGGAAACTTCCTGGGTGGAGGGTCGATTTAGTCACATATGGTATGAACTAGTCCGCTTTCCAAGGTGCATGTCCTCCCAACGGAGCGCGATCTTTCTCTTCCCCTATTTGCATTCTGTCATTTGCCCAAAGGCTAATTTAGGAGACTGTTGGTATTCCGAAGTTCCACTGTATACACAATTGAAGTTATCATGCGTGGGCACACTCGCCTTCTGTGCTAATCTGTTATCTGAACGCCATTTATGATACTGCATTTGGGGGTGTTAAAAAGTTCACAAGTTTTTAACCGACTGAAAGAATTTTGAGCTTATGTTGTTTATGCCTAAACGGTATACAAAATAAATTTTAAGCCACTGGACCCCATTGTCACTAAAAATAATAGTTTGGTGCACAGATCAATCTCCTATTTCCGTTTTTGAATTTAAACCTATTGATTTTTCTAAATTGAGTGTTATTTTAATTACCAGAATTGGATTAGTTTGTCAGGTTTTGTCCGCAATCCTTGTACTCACATCCTCACAGCTGAAAGTAAATCACTTACGATTAAAATGGTGATATACAGCAGCCCTACATACACTAGGCGCATGTTCGTTTGTGTCTGAGTGCTTCGCTTTTGTTTGAAAATTATCATCAAAAATAGTCATAGCCAGAATCTTCGGGGACACTGCTTAATGAGTGCACACATTTGCTAAAAGATAATAACACGGCATCTGTTGAACCCTGGGGGTTTTCTCCTGCGTTGTGAGGCTTCCGGGTTCATTGGGAACAACACAGGCGTTGGTCTAAGCTGAAGTGTTTACCCCGCGGATGAACCTATCCAAGGTCGTTTCTCATAAAGAGGGGAACAAAATGTTTCCGTGGTGTGAAATGGTTTTCTTTTCACTGGACGCGGTATCTATGTTTATTTTCTGTAGTGATATTTGTTGCTCGAAGCCTTATGACGCACGTTACCGGTTCATGTAAACAATAAATTTTTAGTAACTTTCTACACTCTGATTTCCATGTGATACATCTGGACTTGTATTTTTAATGGAGTTGAAACAAAGTGAATGTTTCAACATGTCTAATCTGAGCTGCCGCCAGTTGGTTTGATGCGAAACGGATAAAATAATTTATGAGTCAACGGGATTCACGAAGCACAATTCAACGTAACAAATTTTGAATGCAACTGAATACTAAATGACTTTGATATTGTGAAGATTATGATGGTATCCAGATGAACTTGGAACATTCAGTCCCTCTGGAACCGACTGCACCAGTCGGGAACTGATCAAATGGAGGAAACACGAAATTGAAAGGTCAGGCTTACATTTGAGATTTTCATTGATGACCAAGTGCCCGCGCGCGTACATACAATAATCGTGGATGGCTGTTTTATTCATTCATCATGTATAACATGGATCCTTGTGAATCACTTCTAACAGTCCACTGGGTTCCTTAAGGTTTTCGTTTATTTAAATAGATTTCCCTTCCCCCATGATAACGACCCTGAACTAAATTGGAACACGGGAATTCGCTCTGTTGGAGTATAACGAAATAAAATTGGGAAATTCCAGTTATTGGGGAAATACAACCGTTTCAACTAAAGCTGTATAGCACACAACCGGAAGAATGCTTGCAATCACATCCGTGGAACTTTTGGAAGACCAGGTTCCTTGCAACTTGCGTTGTCCAGTAAACGGATTGCTTTTATGATTCGGAAAGCATGAAACAAAAGTGCTGACTTATAAATTGAAACACAATCTGCAGTTCTTTTTTTCTGGTTCGGGCGTATTCAGCATTGTATCATCGTCACACTCGATGGGGATCGAATACAGGCCCTTATGGAACCACTATGTAGCTGGATAGAACCATCAGCCTCATCTGTACACGGTTTTTGTAGGCCTATCAGTTGATGCGATCACTTGTGTTGTTTGAACTGGTCAGGAAGTTGCAGTTAGATGCAACTCCAGTTGTGTACAGTTTACATATGCTTTTCCGGTCATTCATTATGGCGTGAAAGAAAAACGGTGGAGAAATCCTAGTCAGGGCATAAAAATAAGCAGTACAATTGGTTGAATTTGGGTGGTGATGGCGTGCCGGCGTGCTTTGGACCCTATGGTCCGAGGTTCGAGTCCCGCCACCCGACTTTGGTAGTAGGCAGGTTTGCTGTCGTCCGGTTCAATACCACACCTGACCTATCGGGTTCTTATGTGGTTCGCCACTCCAAGTCCTGGGGCTTAGGTTGCCGGTTTTCACCACTGAACAGCAGGTCCTCGTGACTATGGGGTTCACCCCGTCTGCTGTTCATCACAGTTAGATGTGTAATAAAAAAATTGAAGTCCCGAATTTCTTTATAAAAATCCGCCAAGTTTATCTACCCTTATGATTACTGAGATCTACTAGAAGCATTTAAACGGTAATGCGATATATTTCATTGTATTCACTTCGGAAATTGAATAAATACAAAGATCACAAGACTATTAGGAAGTAATTTGTGTTTGCCAATTGTAATGAACCACCCCTTGAATTCATCATAATTAAGTCGGATAAGACATACAAATAAGATTTCCCGGGATTCGCCTTTTTGGACTTAGTTTCCCCATAGCCGTGTACATGATCTGATTTAATTGTGCATAGGTGATCACTATCACCATCCAAGAGTGAGTGACTTGATGATAAGCTGGTAATATGAGACGCTTAGTCGTGTAAAGGCGCATTTCTCGAGCTGCAAGGAAAGGATGGTCAGCCACAACCCGAGACACCACCTCCGACCGTACTGAGGCTTCCGGAGGTGCATGCGGTTTAGAATGTCTGTAAACCACAGATTTGTACTCTTTGTACAGATTTCTTAGGCATAAATGTTGGAACGCTCAGAGAATCAACTGAACTATGTGGAATACATGGGCATATTCTTGGGGCCATTACTATACACGTTAAAACTTCCCAGTTTCGTGCCATAGACCAAGACAACCTATTGATGATCATTTGCTTGGGGCTGAAGGTGATTTCTGCATAAAATCACTGTATCACAAGAAACTGCAACAAACAGGATATTGTTTACATATATATATATGTTATTTCATAATAAGTAGTACATGATTGACTTTACAAGGTTTCCCTGGGAACACACGACCGGTTTCGCGGTTGTTGTCGTTCGTCAGGCATGCATTTCCGGTAATTATATATATTAAAACTCGCAATTTCTCTTATATTTTACAATCCTGTTAAGCAGCCGATAAAGTATGATAGTAGATGATAGATATTAGTGTGATAGTATGATTAGTAATCTTATTATTTTCAACCCAATAAATCAGAGAGAGAGAAAGGTAGATGTTAGAGACAACATTTAAGACAAAGTGCCTATTCCTCAAAAATCGTTTTACAAGAAATCAGGTTTGTTTACCATTCGTTTTGCATTTGAGGACACAGCCAAACCTCTTCAAAAATACTTTTCCCTTATCCGTTATTTGCTTTTCAAACGGTGCACTTTCACTCTCTCTCTCGCTGTCCCTCCTCTCTCAATGGTCCATACGGCGTGCGTGCATTTCAGTGACAAACGCGGAAGATATGCATCAAGTGACAAAACATATGGCCAAACACGGTTGGCTAGATCACGACTGTGATGGAATTCCCGATCATTTGGATCCGGACGATGATAACGACGGATTTTTCGACAATAAACAAGTGAGTGATTTGTGCTCCGTTCATCCCTCCACCAACACTGTTCAGATAACATTTTTTCTACTTTACCTACCGAGTTATCGATCTTCCCGGGGTACCCCTCATTATATAGTCCGTGTACTTTCTGTGCGTATCTATCCCATCCAAAACCCCTCGATGACATTCGGACGGCAGAGCAGCGAAAGCTAGTTATCCACTGTCCTTAACTCGTCCTGAAACGAACTCCCGATCAGGAATAATGCATCTTCTTCTCTTCACGTACCATGCAAGGAAGATGCAAAAAAGAATACGCATTGTGTTCGGTTCACCCGGAACAAGTCAGTCACGGGTTTCTGCCGTCTCCTTAAACGAGATCAAACGAGAGGCCGTGTGGGTTCACATTTGCGTGCTCGCGTACTTGTGTGTGTGTGTGTGTGTGTGCGCGCATGTGTGAGATAATAAGTTACATTTTAAGGTTTAGAATGGTAGAGTTATGTTGCTTGCTTAAGAAAAAATGATATGTGGATGATTGTTTGTACAAACTGAGGTACTCTGGATGAGCGTCCAAATAATAATAGAGGTAATCAGAGACGAAAGGAAGTGAATTATTTTGCATCAATTTTAGAACCAATCAATGCAGGTCCAAGTATGTGGAAGAATAACAACAGTTAGCAGTATTCCCCTGTTTATGTTGACTCGCTTTTACACACTAATGAAAAAAGCATGCGTGATTAGTACACTTCTAGTGCGACATAGTGAGGGGGAGTGGCACAAACTGCCAAGCTGATTTGTTTTTAAGTTTCTCCTTTTGATTGTTTAACCGATATTATTTGACTATGAGGTGTCCTAATGTAGTATTGCACTTTACCGTTGCTATTGCACTCCTATTAAAAACATGTTATCGTGGAATTCCAAATGACCGATCTCGTTTTACAGGTACTGTAGCAGGTCGGAGGGTGTCAGTAGTTCAGACTGTGGAAAAAGTCTATCGTTCGCGGAGCACATCTAAATTATCAGGACCAAAGGTTTTGTCTTGGGAAAAGTAGCTTGAGAGAAGACACTGTAATCTGGAAATCGCCAAAGGTTAATTATTGGTTATCAACAAGCATCTGGTGATTTTTTCATTCACTTACCAATCTACCTATTGATCAGCTAATTGACCAACTGTGGTATTAAATCAGATTTCACCACACCCAATGAAGTGTGCTTCATTGT